GACAAAAAAAAACACCAGCAATCCTACCATCATGTAAAACAATTACAGGCTTTTGTTTTACTTTCACTTGGCAGGACGGTAGTACCTCCCTGGGTGATTGCTGTCTACCAACCTACTACCTATTATTGTGCCTGCTACATACACAGAACATTATTCTCCAGTATAAACCCTCCTCTCAAACTCTTTGAGAATTACAATAGAACACACTTTCATAACACAGGACACAACACACTCCTTGATATCACTCATGTCCATCTCTTCCTGTGCAAAAATGCAGTGCATATAAAGGGCCCTAAGATATGGAATTCATTGCCTGAATATACAAAAGGGCCCCTGCTTGCACACCAATTCAAGGCACTACTTAGAACTCACCTCATCTCCCAAAACTAACAACACAAACGCTATATATTATCGCCACCATCAACCTTAAAGTTGTCAAATTTTATAAGATTATTTCAAAACTAAATTGGTCTCAATCTCATTATGTATAATGTGCTAAAATATTATACTGTAACTTATTATTCAACTGCTTGTTAATTTAATTACTGCTAAACCACTTCTACCTCTGTTGATATATTAAAAACAATGTTCAGTTCAAACCAACTATGTTATATCTGTCTAGTATTAAATAGTCTGTAAAGCATTAGGTTTAGTCTGCCCGAAATGCCTCGGCATGATAGTGGCTTTCTTTGCACTTAGCAAATCAGTATTGTAATTACACATTGTAAACTATGCATGGAAATAAACTCCTTATAACACATCAGTCACACATTTTAAACCATGCAAAGAAATAAAAGTTTGAATTTGAAAAGTAGGCCTTAGACAGGGATGTTTGATGTCACCATTGTTGTTCAATATATTTATAGATGGGGTTGTAAGAGAAGTCAGTGCTTGGATGTTGACAAGAGGCATGAGATGAAAGGATAAGGAATCAAACACAAAGTGGGAACTCACAGTTGCTTTTTGCTGATGACACTGCTTTTAGGAGATTCTGAAGAGAAGTTGCAGATGTTAGTGGATGAGTTTGGTAGGGTATGTAGAAGAAGGAAATTAAAAGTGAACAAAGGAAAGAGTAAGGTGATGAGGATAACAAAAAATTTAAGTAATGAAAGTTTGGATATCAGATTGGAGGGAGGGAGTATGGAGGCAGTGAATGTATTCAGATATTTACGAGTGGACTTGTCAGCAGATGGGTCTATGAAAGACAAGGTGAATCAGAATTGATGAGGGGGAAGAAAGTGAGTGGCGCACTGAGGAGTCTATGGAGACAAAGAACGTTATCCATGGAAGCAAAAATGGAAATGTATGAGAGTATAGTCATTCCATTGCTCTTTTATGGGTGTGAAGCATAGGTGGTGAATGTTGCAGCGAGAAGAAGGCTGGAGGCAGTGGAGTTGTCGTGTCTGAGGGCAGTGTGTGGTGTGAATTTAATGCAAAGAATTCGTTGTTTGGAAATTAGGAGGAGGTACGGGGTTACTAAAAGTATTATCCAGAGGGCTGAGGAGGGGTTGTTGAGGTAATTTGGACATTTAGAGAGGATGGAATGAAATAAAATGTCCTGGAGAGCATATAAATCTATAGTGGAAGGAAGGTGGGGTAGGGGTCGGCCTAGGAAAGGTTGAAGGGAAGGGGTAAAGGATGTTTTGTGTGCGAGGGGCTTGGACTTCCACAAGCATGTGTGAGTGTGTGAGGAGCAAGTGGAGACGAGTGCTTTTTAGGACTTGACGTGCTGTTGGAGTGTCAGCAAGGTAACATTTATGAAAGGATTTAGGGAAACCGGCGGCTAGCAGGACTCGAGTCCTGGAAGTGGGAAGTACAGTGCCTGCACTCTGAAGGAAGGGTGTTGATAAGTTGCAGTTTTATAACTGTAGTGTAGGCACGCCTCTAGCAAGACAGTGATGGAGTGAATGATGATGAGAGTGTTTCTTCTTTTCCAAGTCACCCTGCCTTGGTGGGAAACAGCCGTTTTGTTAATAAAAAAATATCCATAATTACTTTTGTTTTGCGTAAATGTAAATGGGGAGCCTTTAATTGAGCTATGTGTAGAAAGAAATTTGGTAATAAGTAATACATATTTTATGAAAAAGAGGATAAATAAATATACAAGGTATGATGTAGCACGTAATGAAAGTAGTTTATTAGATTATGTATTGGTGGATAAAAGGATGATGGGTAGGCTCCAGGATGTACATGTTTATAGAGGGGCAACTGATATATCGGATCATTATTTAGTTGTAGCTACAGTTAGAGTAAGAGGTAGATGGGAAAAGAGGAAGGTGGCAACAACAAGTAAGAGGGAGGTGAAAGTGTATAAACTAAGGGAGGAGGAAGTTCGGGTGAGATATAAGCGACTATTGGCAGAAAGGTGGGCTAGTGCAAAGATGAGTAGTGGGGGGGTTGAAGAGGGTTGGAATAGTTTTAAAAATGCAGTATTAGAATGTGGGGCAGAAGTTTGTGGTTATAGGAGGGTGGGAGCAGGAGGAAAGAGGAGTGATTGGTGGAATGATGAAGTAAAGGGTGTGATAAAAGAGAAAAAGGTAGCTTATGAGAGGTTTTTACAAAGCAGAAGTGTTATAAGAAGAGCAGAGTATATGGAGAGTAAAAGAAAGGTAAAGAGAGTGGTGAGAGAGTGCAAAAGGAGAGCAGATGATAGAGTGGGAGAGGCACTGTCAAGAAATTTTAATGAAAATAAGAAAAAATTTTGGAGTGAGTTAAACAAGTTAAGAAAGCCTAGGGAAAATATGGATTTGTCAGTTAAAAACAGAGTAGGGGAGTTAGTAGATGGGGAGACGGAGGTATTGGGTAGATGGCGAGAATATTTTGAGGAACTTTTAAATGTTAAGGAAGAAACAGAAGCAGTAATTTCATGCACTGGTCAGGGAGGTATACCATCTTTTAGGAGTGAAGAAGAACAGAATGTAAGTGTGGGGGAGGTACGTGAGGCATTACGTAAAATGAAAGGGGGTAAAGCAGCTGGAACTGATGGGATCATGACAGAAATGTTAAAAGCAGGGGGGGATATAGTGTTGGAGTGGTTGGTACTTTTGTTTAATAAATGTATGAAAGAGGGGAAGGTACCTAGGGATTGGCGGAGAGCATGTATAGTCCCTTTATATAAAGGGAAAGGGGACAAAAGACTGTAAAAATTATAGAGGAATAAGCTTACTGAGTATACCAGGAAAAGTGTACGGTAGGGTTATAATTGAAAGAATTAGAGGTAAGACAGAATGTAGGATTGCGGATGAGCAAGGAGGTTTCAGAGTGGGTAGGGGATGTGTAGATCAAGTGTTTACATTGAAGCATATATGTGAACAGTATTTAGATAAAGGTAGGGAAGTTTTTATTGCATTTATGGATTTAGAAAAGGCATATGATAGAGTGGATAGAGGAGCAATGTGGCAGATGTTGCAAGTATATGGAATAGGTGGTAAGTTATTAAATGCTGTAAAGAGTTTTTATGAGGATAGTGAGGCACAGGTTAGGGTGTGTAGAAGAGAGGGAGACTACTTCCCAGTAAAAGTAGGTCTTAGACAGGGATGTGTAATGTCACCATGGTTGTTTAATATATTTATAGATGGGGTTGTAAAGGAAGTAAATGCTAGGGTGTTCGGGAGAGGGGTGGGATTAAATTTTGGGGAATCAAATTCAAAATGGGAATTGACACAGTTACTTTTTGCTGATGATACTGTGCTTATGGGAGATTCTAAAGAAAAATTGCAAAGGTGTAAAGGTAGAAAGTTGAAAGTGAACATAGAAAAGAGTAAGGTGATGAGGGTATCAAATGATTTAGATAAAGAAAAATTGGATATCAAATTGGGGAGGAGGAGTATGGAAGAAGTGAATGTTTTCAGATACTTGGGAGTTGACGTGTCGGCGGATGGATTTATGAAGGATGAGGTTAATCATAGAATTGATGAGGGATAAAAGGTGAGTGGTGCGTTGAGGTATATGTGGAGTCAAAAAACGTTATCTATGGAGGCAAAGAAGGGAATGTATGAAAGTATAGTAGTACCAACACTCTTATATGGGTGTGAAGCTTGGGTGGTAAATGCAGCAGCGAGGAGACGGTTGGAGGCAGTGGAGATGTCCTGTTTAAGGGCAATGTGTGGTGTAAATGTTATGCAGAAAATTCGGAGTGTGGAAATTAGGAGAAGGTGTGGAGTTAATAAAAGTATTAGTCAGAGGGCAGAAGAGGGGTTGTTGAGGTGGTTTGGTCATTTAGAGAGAATGGATCAAAGTAGAATGACATGGAAAGCATATAAATCTATAGGGGAAGGAAGGCGGGATAGGGGTCGTCCTCGAAAGGGTTGGAGAGAGGGGGTAAAGGAGGTTTTGTGGGCAAGGGGCTTGGACTTCCAGCAAGCGTGCGTGAGCGTGTTAGATAGGAGTGAATGGAGACGAATGGTACTTGGGACCTGACGATCTGTTGGAGTGTGAGCAGGGTAATATTTAGTGAAGGGATTCAGGGAAACCGGTTATTTTCATATAGTCGGACTTGAGTCCTGGAAATGGGAAGTACAATGCCTGCACTTTAAAGGAGGGGTTTGGGATATTGGCAGTTTGGAGGGATATGTTGTGTATCTTTATATGTGTATGCTTCTAGACTGTTGTTTTTTGAGCACCTCTGCAAAAACAGTGATAATGTGCGAGTGTGGTGAAAGTGTTGAATGATGAAAGTATTTTCTTTTTGGGGATTTTCTTTCTTTTTTGGGTCACCCTGCCTCGGTGGGAGACGGCCGACTTGTTGAAAAAAAAAAAAATTACTTATAACACACACAAATAATCCACACACAGGAGAATGAAACTTATGATAATGTTTCAGTCCAACTTGGACTATTAACTAGTCACATTAGTTAATGGTCCAAGTCAGACCGAAATGTCATAAGTTTCATTCTCTTACGTGCGGGTTATTTGTGTATTGTTCCATTCACGGTAATGTGTTTTTTTTTTTTCTCCATTACCTATAATTTTGTGATTTAAAGGAGGCAAATTTATTACAGGTAACAGCTGTGACTTTCAATGACACATCAGAGCAAGTCATCTCTGGAGGTATTGATAATGATATGAAGGTGAGTTATTCTTGCCCAGTTTTCAATATTTTACAAATTGCTTCACAAAAGGAAAATATTGTATTTAGAATATACTACATATAAAACCACTTGATTGTGCCTATTTACTCTTCCTGAATTTATATTTTTTCCACTCTTCTTTATTTTAATACATTGATGTGTCAGTAAAAAGTAAGCTAGTGGTAGTGATGAGGCGTGAAAATTTTATCTGAAATTAGGGGAATGAAAAAACACTGGAATCTGTTGGAGAGTTTAAAAATCTGAAATATGACTTGAGTTTTGTGATTAATAAAAGAGGAATTAGTAAGTGAAAAGAATAGAGTAGGGAAGAACAGTGTACAAATGCCCTTAATTGGGAAACATAAGATAGGAAGAAATATAGCAAGAAATGTACATAGTGACTTGATTGTTGTGCTCCTAGTACAGTGTTGTGAAATATTGGCCCAGCAGGAATAAGAGCTATGTGTAGAGATAAAAAAAAACATGCTTTCAGAATGCTTTCAGAAAGGGAGGGCAGACACAAAATTATCTAAATTTTCCAGTTAAACAACCTCAAAAATTAAGAAATTTCCAAAGCAGTTAATATAATTATATATATTTCACAGATACAGAAGGGAAACATTAAACATCAATACACTGATGAAACAATAAGTAAGCACAGAATATATATACTGTGAAGGGTATGTCTCTTTGTGTGTGTGAGAGAGAGAGAGAGAGACAGATATCTTGGGGTAAGCATTATAATGAACATGTCCCCTGAGGCACACATCAATCACATAACTGCTGCAGCATATAGGCTCTTGGCAAACTTGAGAATAGCATTTCAACATCTGAGTAAGGAATCATTCATGACATTGTACACCGTGTATGTCAGATCCATACTGGAGTATGCAGCACCATTATGGAACCCACACTTAGTCAAACACATCAAGAAACTGGAGAAAGTGCAAAAGTTTGCAACATGAGATTTCAGGAAGTATTTACAGTGGAGGCAGAAGGAACACTGGGAAGACAAAACAGTGGGGTACACCAACAAGGGATATACCAACAAGTGTTGGATGAAATATACACAACCAAGGAGGAGGTAAAGAAGCTCCTAAGTGACCTTGATACCTTAAAGGCGGTGGAACAACCTCTCTCCATGGGTCCTTAGAGAGGGAGCAGAGACACTATGTGTGCCACTAACCACAATCTTCAACACATCCCTTGAAACTGGGCAACTACCTGAGGTATGGAAGACGGCAAATGTAGTCCCCATCTTCAAAAAAAGGAGACAGAAACGAAGCACTAAACTATAGACCTGTGTCACTGACGTGTATAGTATGCAAAGTCATAGAGAAGATTATCAGGAGGAGAGTCGTGGAGCACCTGGAATGGAACAAGGTTATAAACGGCAGCCAGCACAGATTCATGGAAGGCAAATCCTGTGTCACAAACCTACTGAAGTTTTATGACAAGGTAACTGAAGTAAGACATGAGAGGGAGTGGTGGGTTGATTGCATTTTCTTGGACTGCAAGAAGGCCTTTGACACAGTTCCTTACAAGAGATTAATGCAGAAGCTAGAGGATCAGGCACATATAACAGGAAGGGCACTGCACTGGATCAGATAATACCAGACAGGGAGTCAACAGTGAGTCATGGTACGTGATGAGGTATCACAGTGGGCGCCAGTGACGAGCAGGGTTCCACATGGGTCAGTCCTGGGACCAGTGCTATTCTTGGTATATGTGAATGACATGATGGAAGGGATAGACTCAGAAGTGTCCCTGTTTGCAGATGATGTGAAGTTAACGAGGAGAATTAAATCAGATGCAGATCAGACAGGTCTACAAAGAAAACTGGACAGGCTGGACACATGGTCCAGCAACTGGCTTCTAGAATTTAACCCTGCCAAATGCAAAGTCATGAAGATCGGCGAAGGGCAAAGAAGACTGCAGACAGAGTATAGGCTAGGAGGTCAAAGACTGCAAACTTCACTCATGGAGAAAGATCTAGGGGTGAGTATAATACTGAGCATGTCGCCGAAAGCACACATTAACCAGAAAACTGCTGTGGCATATAGGCGCCTGGCAAACCTGAGAATAGCGTTCCAATACATCAGTAAGGAATTGTTCAAGACTCTATACACTGTGTACGTCAGGCCCATACTGGAGTATGTGGCACCAGTTTCTAACTCACACCTGGTCAAGCACATCAAGAAATTGGAGAAAGTGCAAATGTTTGCAACAAGGCTGGTTCCAGAGCTAAGGGGAATGTCCTACGAAGAAAGGTTAAGGGAAATCGGTCTAACGACACTGGAGGACAGGAGGGTCAGGGGTGACATGATAATGACATACAAAATACTGCATGGAATAGATAAGGTGGACAGAGAGAGGATGTTCCAGAGATGGGACACAGAACCAAGGGGTCACAGTTGGAAGTTGACTCAGATGAGTCAAAGGGATGTTATGAAGTATTTCTTCAGCCACAGAGTTGTTAGGAAATGGAATAGTCTGGCAAGTGATGTAATGGAAGCAGGAACCATACATAGTTTCAAGACAAGGTATGATAAAGCTCATGAAGCAGGGAGAGGGAGGACCCAGTTGCGGTCAGTGAAGAGAAAGGGCCAGGAGCTGAGTCTTGACCCCTGCAACCACAATTAGGTGAGTACATGCACACACACATGTGCACACATGCATGTGCACACATGCACACATGCACACACATGCACACATGCACACATGCACACACATGCACACACACCTATGTGCACACACACGTGCACACACACCCATGTGCACACACATGCGCACACACAGGCCTAGTGTCTAATCGACATGTGCCTAGGACAAAATGGTAACTAACATGCGCGCACACACACACATACTCATATACAACAGGCCTAGTGTCTAATCGACATGTGCCTAGGACAAAATGGTAACTAACACACACACACACACACACACACACACCACCACACACACACACACACAACACACACACATACAACAGGCCTCGTGTCTAATCGACACTGCCGTCAACATGACTCAAGAAATCGTAATGACACGATTGCAAATAAACCATACCCCCGGCCGGGGTATGGTTTATTCGTCTGTAAAAACTTGCATTTGTGGTCACAGAGGTGCCTGTGCTAACTTTCCTATGGTGTAGAAATATACCTAGTTGGATGAATCTTATTGTGGCTAGCTGGTCTAGTGGCTAATGCGACGGGCTGGAGTTTTGAGACTATGACCGCGGGTTCAATCCCGGCCGGGGGTATGGTTTATTTGCAATCGTGTCATTACGATTTCTTGAGACACAGTTGGAAGCTGAAGACACAGATGAATCACAGGGATGTTATGAAGTATTTCTTCAGCCACAGAGTAGTCAGTAAGTGGAATAGTTTGGGAAGCGATGTAGTGGAGGCAGGATCCATACATAGCAATAAGCAGAGGTACGATAAAGCTCATGGTTCAGGGAGAGTGACCTAGTAGCGACCAGTGAAGAGGCTGGGCCAGGAGCTTGGACTCGACCCCTGCAACCTCAACTAGGTGAGTACGTACACACACACACACACACACACATGCACACACATGCACACACATGCACACACATGCACACACATGCACCCTCACAGGCCCCCCAAACCACAGTGTTGGAAAGGAAACTGAAGGTATGGCACACAAACGCTGATGGAATAACAAATAAGTGGGAGGAGTGGCACGAAAGAGGCAAAGAGGCGTCACCGGACATCATAGCTCTCACAGAAACCAAGCTCATCAAGAAGTTGATGAGAAGAATTCATTCGATCGAAGACCAGGCAGAACTACAAAGGTATCTGGACAGGCTGCAGACCTGGTCCAGCAATTGGCTCCTGGAGTTCAGTCCCACCAAGTGCAAAGTCATGAAGATTGGGGAAGGGCAAAGAAGACCGCAGGCGGAGTAGAGTCTACAGAGACTACAAACCTCACTCAAGGAAAAAGATCTTGGGGTGAGTATAACACCAGGCACATCTCCTGAAGCGCACATCAACCAAATAACTGCTGCAGCATATGGGCGCCTGGCAAACCTCAGAACAGCATTCCGACATCTTAATAAGGAATCGTTCAGGACCCTGTACACCGTGTACATTAGGCTCGTATTGGAATATGCAGCACCAGTTTGGAACCCACACCTAGCCAAGCATGTAAAGAAACTAGAGAAAGTGCAAAGGTTTGCAACAAGGCTAGTTCCAGAGCTAAGAGGTATGTCCTACGAGGAGAGGTTAAGGGAAATCAACCTGACGACACTGGAGGACAGGAGAGATGGGGGGACATAATAATGACAAAAAATACTGAGAGGAATTGACAAGGTGGACAAAGACAAGATGTTCCAGAGATGGGACACAACAACAAGGGAACACAGTTGGAAGTTGAAGACACAGATGAATCACAGGGATGTTAGGAAGTATTTCTTCAGCCACACAGTAGTCAGGAAGTGGAATAGTTTGGGAAGCGATGTAGTGGAGGCAAGATCTATACATAGCTTTAAGCAGAGGTATGATAAAGCTCATGGTTCAGGGGAGTGTGACCTAGTAGCGACCAGTGAAGAGGCGGGGCCAGAAGCTTGGACTCGACCCCTGCAACCTCAACTAGGTGAATACACACACAAGAAATTACTTTGATCTCCACTTCAGGACTAAAATATGCTTGACTAGAGGCCAACAAGTTACATACAGCCTTAATGACGCTCATTAATGGGCTTTAGCCCCAGTGATCAGTCAAAAAGATAATATGCATCTACAAGTGTATGTATACTGAGACTTTTATTTTAATCCCTGTATTAAGTATCAAAGGATTCTTTACTAGTGATGAACAGGTGACATACAGCCTTTAACACCCAAAACTTTCAGTTGTTTTCATAAAATGGGAAATCAGATCACCAGTTCTTTATTTAGTGATAATGCTCTATAAAGCATATGTCAACAGAGAGATGTTGGTACAGTATATTATTTATAAAGTATAATTTTTGTTGTAACCCACGTTTACAAAAAATAGAGCATTAAAAAATTTTAGTTTCATTCTTGCCCAAAATGATGATCTGCAAGGAGCTTCTCAGTTGTCATTACTGTACTTTAAATAATTTACTCATGTAGAACTTCACCATTCTTAAATGAATTTTTAATAATTATATGCAGTTTGTGATTTTTGTGTATTATTACACTGTATATTGATTTTATATTTGAATGTAATACTACTGAGTTGTTTTTAATCTTCTAATATATAATTCTGTTCTTAGGTGTGGGATTTGCGGAAAAATGGTTTGCTATACCGGATGCGTGGACATAATGATACTGTGACTGGGCTCAGTCTTTCTCCAGATGGCTCTTATGTTCTTTCTAATGCCATGGACAATACTGTCAGAATATGGGATGTACGGCCATTTGCTCCACAGGAACGCTGTGTCAAGATCTTTCAAGGGCACCAGCACAACTTTGAAAATGTAAGATACTTTGTCTTTATGATTGTTATCAATTTGGTAAGAGTCTTTTTGAGTGTAATGGTTTCATGTACATACCACAGTGCTTGTATCTTTTGAAGTGCCACAGTGGTTATACTGTTCAGTTTAGTACTTAATTCCATGTATACTGGAATAAAAATTGACCTTTTCTAGCTTCTTAAAATGCACCCCATGTTATGCCCTTGGACTTATAATTGAGATAAAATATTGTCAGCAGGTTACTGGATTAGCAATTTCTTTGAGAATTAAACAACTAGTTGTCAAAGGCACCACAGTAACAATGGCAACCAACAGTTGCCATTGTTACTGTGGTGGTACACTGCAGTGGGTGGTGGTACACTCCAGAAAGATATTGATGTGCAGTAGACCGTCAGATAACATGGTAGTCACATTCCTGAAAATAGTGTGTAATCAAAAATATGCATATAAACTGAACTGAAGAACAAACGGGAAAAATAGGGTTATTTTCAATAAACTCCCAAAAAGCCAACTGATTTTTTTTATAGATCTCAGAATTGTAAAATACAAAGATAATAATGTAATTGTGGGTCAGTGTGGTGATGTGCATTAGTCAAAGATCCCACAGCCACATCTCTGCTAGCAGACAGAGATACCTTATTCTTTTGTTATCCTACTTGTTGCAACTATACTTGGGTTTTAAAGAAGGGGTTAGAATGGTTGGGGTGTACACAGAAAGGGTTAGAGCAGTTGGGGTGAATGGGTTTGGTGTAGGGGTGGGGGGACTGCTCTTGTGGGAGGTTAAGACTGAAGGGTGGAGGGGGGGCAGGAGCTGGAGGCTGGTTTGGGGAGGCAGAGGATACTGGGCAGTGGAGAGTTGTGAGGGGTGGAGGCTGGAAACAACTCTGTAGTTTAACCCTTTGACTGTCGCAACCCCCAATCCTGAGGTCTCCTGGTGTCGCAAAATTTCAAAAAAAAAAAAGAAAATATTTTTTCTTATGAAATGATAGAGAATCTTTTCCCGATTGTAATGACACCAAAAAAACGAAATTTGATGGAAAACTGACGTAATTATGCTCTCGCGAAGTTAGCGACCTCGGCGCTGTTTACAAATCGGCGATTTCGCCCACTTTGAGCCCTATTTTCGGCTAATTCCATTGTTCCAGTCGCCCAAACTCATAGCTATTTCTTTAGAACTCCATTTTTTCTATCGATTGAGTACAAGAAACTGCCCATTTACCGATTTCAACTGCCTAATAATGTGGTCAGAAATTTGCAATTTGGCCAATTTCACAAAAACTAAAAAATATGACAATTTCAAAATAAGATCCAGAATGAACAATGCAGACATTCCTGTCTCTAAAATAACATTTTCTTTGCTCATCAGTCATGTCTCCAGGCCCCTCTGATATTACTCTTGCTTTCTATTTTGAATTTTTATTCAAACAAAAAATAGAAGACCTACTATTAAGCAGACTACTGCAATACTGTAATAACTGTATAAATAACATCAACCCATTCATGACTGCATATTAGAATGGCTAGTTGGACATTTATTGGGCAATGGCATCATTTGTTTACTTTTGAACATTGGCAAAAATCAAACATTTCCCCTACTTTGAGCTCCATTTCTAGGCTCTTTTTATAGTAAAATCAATCAAAATCACCTCTACTTCTATGGTATGTTTTTCATTCTATCAAATGAGACCAAGAAAACGAGAATACAACCATAAATACTATACGAAAATAGACCACAAAGTCGGCATTTTAATTAAAAAAAATGGTCGGAGTTTTTTTTTTTCTCATTATGCACTGCATGCTCCAGGATTTTTTTTATATGGTGCACACTGACCACACAGACCCATTCTCTCACATGTGGGCCTACCAGCTTTCTCCTGCTTGATTTGAAGCCGCTAGAATTTATGAGTATATATATACGTCAAACATGGTACCTCGTAAGACGTATATATACGGCCGCGACAGTCAAAGGGTTAATGGTGACTGTGTGGGTGGCAGTGTTGGTGACATGGTGGGGAGAGGAGTACAGGTGGTGAGAAGGGGACAGATGGTGGTGTAGGTGCTGAGTGTGCAGTTGGTGATGTAGGTGGTGAGCGAGTGAGTGTGCAATTGATGGTGTAGGTGGTAATGAGGGTGGTGGGTGGCCCTGTGACAAGGTGTGTGGGGCATAAAAATATGGGTAAGGTGTGGAAGTGGGGCCATGTGGGCTTGAAGCTGTGAGGGAGTGGTGTGAGTGAAAGCATGGGTCAGGTATGGAAGTGGGGCCATGTGGGCTTGAATCTGTGGGAGCAATGAATGAAATCATGGGTAAGGTGCAGGAGTGGGGTCATGTGGGCTTGAAGCTGTGGGGGAGTGGTGTGAGTGAAAGGCGTGGTTATCAGTGGCCTGGTGTGAAAGGTGACTGGATGATGTAGATGAGCACAGTTGGCAATACAGGCAGTAATTAAGGTGGTGGGTGACTGAGTGATTATTTGGAGGGCATTGTTAGGGTGAAAGTCAGGTAAGGTTTTTGCATGAGATCATGGGGAAATTGTATGTGTGAGGATGTGGAGCTGGGCAACATGTAGTCTTGTGGTAGTGGGGAAATATGGCCCTGGGGGAATGGTGTAGGTGTAGGCATGTGGCCATGGGGAGAATTGTATGAGGTTGTGTGGGTGTAGATTGTTGGTCAGGATGGCATGGGTGAAGGCATGTGGCCTTGGGGAGTTGTATGGGTGAAGGTGTGTGGCCTTGGGGATTTGTGTGGGTGGTGGTATGGATGGGAGGAGGTATGGGTGGGTTTGAGGCATGGTATGGGTGAAAGTGTGTAGTCATGGGGGGTTATAGGGGCAGGTAGTATAGTTAGGGGTTGTGGGCAGTATGGGCAGATTTGCTGGGTTTGCAGTGAGGTTGCTGGGTGTACAGCGAGGGCATGCGGTAAGAGGGAGGAGGGGGTAGAATGAGCAGTTGTGTGAGCTTTGTGGTGTGTGACTGAGGTATGGTACTGGACACATTAATGGTGCATGAGGTATGGTATTAGGTGCATATGAATGGAGCCCAGAGCCTCAGTGCATAGCCTCACTCTCAGATAGAAGAAAAACTGACAGGCACCCTAAACTTCATCCACCACACCCACCATACCCACCATAACCCATTTTTCACACCCCTCTGCCCATACATTCTAGTTCTCATCCATCCACCTTCACCCATCCCCTCACCTACTTTCATCCATCCCTTCACCCACCTTCAGAGGTCCTCTCACCCACCTTTACCCATCCCTTAAACACATGCCCTCAACTTCCTACCCATATGTTGGAGGGCAGGGTGGCTGTGGACCAATGCCTTCATCCAACATCAGGCCCCCACCTTCACCCATCTCCCACAGTGTCTGAATGATTGACAGTGAAACTGTTTTCTTCTTTGTTGGGTCACCTTACCTCAGTTGGAGAAGGTAGGAGTGCTAAAAAAATAAAACTCTAAAAGAAAGATATTAAAAGTGAATGTTGAAAAGAGAAAGAGTGATGAGGGTAGCATAAAATCTAGGGAATTAAAGATTGAATATCAGATTGGAAGTAGGGAGTATGGATGAAGTGGCTGTATTTAGACATTTGGGAGTGGACATGGCATTAGGTGAGTCTGTAAAAGATAAGGTGGTGTGTTGAGGTATCTGTGGAAAGACAGAAGTTTATCTATGGAGGCAATAAAGGGAATGTACAAGAGTATAGTGGTACCAACATTTATATGGGTATGAGGCATGAGCTCTGAACCTTGCAGTGAGGAGGCTAAAGGCAGTGGAGATGTTATGTTTGAGAGCAATTTTTTTTTTTAACAAGTCGGCTATCTCCCACCGAGACAGGATGACCCAAAAAAGAAAGAAAATCCCCAAAAAGAAAATACTTCCATCATCATTCAACACTTTCACCTCACTCACACATAATCACTGTTTTTGCATAGGTGCTCAGAATACAACAGTTTAGAAGCATATATGTATAAAGATACACAACATATCCCTCCAAATTGCCAATATCCCAAACCCTTCCTTTAAAGTGCAGGCATTGTACTTCCCATTTCTAAGACTCAAGTCCAGCTATATAAAAATAACTGGTTTCCCTGAATCCCTTCACTAAATATTACCATGCTCACACTCCAACAGCTCATCAGGTCCCAAATACCATTTGCCTCCATTCACTCCTATCTAACACACTCACGCATGCTTGCTGGAAGTCCAAGCCCCTCACCCACAAAACCACCCAGGGAGGTACTACCGTCCTGCCAAGTGAATGTAAAATGAAAGCCTGTAATTGTTTTACATGATGATAGGATTGCTGGTGTCTTTTGTCTGTCTCATAAACCTGCAAGATTACAGATACGTCTTGCTACTTCTACTTACACTTAGGTCACACTACACATACATGTACACGTTTATTTATACACACTCATCTGAGTTTTCTTTGATTTTATCTTAATAGTTCTTGTTCTTATTACTTTTCCTTTTATATCCATGGGGCAGTGGAATAAGAATCTTTCCTTCGTAAGCCATGCGTGTTGTAAAAGTCAACTAAAATGCCAGGAATAGTGGGCTAGTAACCCCTTTTCCTGTAATAATTACTAAAAAAATAAGAAGAAAATTGTCAATTGAAAGCAATGTGTGGTGTGAAAATTATATAATATGGGATCACCGTGAGTATTATTCAGAGGGCTGAGGTAGTTCAAGTATTTAGAGGAGGGAGTGGAATAGGATGACGAAGGTGTATAAATCTGTGGTAGAAGGTAGAAGGGGTACAGGCATCCCAGAAATAGTTGGATTGAGAGTGCTTTGAATTGATCATCTGGCAGTCGTGTGTGAACATGTAAGATGGGCTGTTAGTGTGTGATCAAGGTAACATTTATGAAAGAATTCAGTAATTTATGAAAGAATTCAGTAATGTTTGCAGAATCCTATCTTTCAATTGTTAGTATTTTTAGAATTTTCAGAATTTTAATTAGGGTTTGGTAAAAGGAATATCAGAATCATAGAATATTGAGATTTTAGAATTATATTATAACTAGATTTACTATACTGCACATTATGCAATTTATTCCCAAAGATCTTACTACGCTGTTCTTGGTCACCTGATGGACGTCGTGTGGCAGCTGGATCCTCTGATCGCCATGCTTACATATGGGATACCACTACCAGGCATATACTTTACAAGCTACCAGGACACAATGGATCAGTTAATACTGTCGAATTTCATCCCAAAGAACCAATAAGTAAGTATGATTTAAATTTTGCTGTTTTGCTAACAATTTATATACATACATACTATACAGTCAACCATTGATTAGCTAAACTAGTTGTGAGCACAAATTTTTGTTTGGCTTATGTACTTTAAAAATTCTTTAATAAAATTGTACAAGAACTTTACTTGCATCATACACACAACTATTACATCCTAGCTCTCTTTCTGCTCATATCTGAGAAAACATGTTTTCCAATCAGCTACATCGGTGTTATAGCTCTCAACCAGCATTTCTTTCTTAGTGTACTTTCAGTGCTGTACTGGCAATGTTAATTAAATTCCAGTACAGTGGACCCTCGAGTTTCAGCAGCCTCGACTTTCGTGAAATTCGACCTTCGGCGAGTTTTTTTGGAAAAATTTGGCCTCGAGTTTCGGGAAAAAACTCATGTTTCGGCGACCGTCCGGTACCTGTCCGCCCGTCACCGCACACACAAGCCAGTCTCCCATGCCATTCACGCTCAGTGTGCCATTGTTTACCAACACGTGACCATCACCCTGCGGGTTCATAAGTAATAATCCATTGTTTTTTGTGATTACAACTGCTAAATAAGTCACCATGAGCCCAAGGAAAGCTAGTGCAAGCCCTTTGGTAAAGAAAGTGAGGAACACGATCGAATTCAAGAAGGAAATCATTGAAAAATATGAGAGTGGAGTGCGTGTTACAGAGCTTGCCAGGATGTATGGCAAGCCCCATTCAGCCATCACTTCGATCATGGCGAAAGGAAAGGAAATAAAGTGTGCTGTTGTTGCAAAAGGGGTGGATATGCTGACAAAAAGGAGATCACAAATCCTCGAAGAAGTGGAGAGGTTATTGTTGGTGTGGATTACCGAAAAACAGTTAGCAGGAGATAGTGTTACGCAGTCGATAATATGCGAAAAGGCAAGGCAGTTGCATGACGATCTCGTAAAGAACATGCCTGCAACAAGGGGTGATGCTTGTGATTTTAAGGCCAGCAAAGGTTGGTTTGAGAGATTTAAGAAGCGTAGTGGCATTCACAGTGTGATAAGGCATGGTGAGGCTGCCAGTTCTGACAAAAAAGCAGCTGAGACGTTTGTACAGGAGTTTAAGGAGTGCATAGGCACTGGAGAATTCAAACCCCAGCAAGTGTTTAATTGTGACGAAACAGGCCTCTTCTGGAAGAAAATGCCAAAGAGGACCTACATCACACAGGAGGAAATGGCACTCCCAGGACACAAACCTATGAAAGACAGGCTTACTCTCATGTTTTGTAGTAATGCTAGTGGGGATTTTAAAGTGAAGCCTTTACTGGTGTATCACTCTGAAAATCCCAGAGTGTTCAAGAAATACAGTGTCTCCTAGAGTAACTTGAGTGTGATGTGGAAGGCTAATAGTAAGGCATGGGTCACAAGGGGAATTTTCCTATACTGGTTTAATGAAGTGTTTGACCCCAGTGTGAAGAAATACCTCCTGGAAAATAAATTGCCACTCAAGTGCCTCCTGGTAATGGACAGTGCTCCTGCTCATCCTCCAGACTTGGAAGAGCAAATAGTGGAGGAGTTTAGTTTCATCACGGTGAAGTTCTTGCCCCCTAATACAACTCCTCTCCTCCAGCCCATGGACCAGCAGGTCATTTCAAACTTCAAAAAACTCTACACAAAAGCAGTGTTTCAGAAGTGCTTTGAAGTGACCTCAGACACTGAATTGACCCTAAGAGAGTTCTGGAAAGATCACTTTAATATCCTCCATTGCATAAACCTTATAGGTAAGTCCTGGGAGGGAGTGACTTCCAGGACTTTGAACTCTGCTTGGAGAAATTTGTGGCCAGATTGTGTACAAGAGAGGGATTTTGAAGGGTTTGTGGCTGACCCTAAGGAACCTATACCAGTTGTGGAAACTATTGTGGCATTGGGGATGTCCCTGGGGTTGGAGGTGAGTGGTGAGGATGTGGAAGAGTTGGTGGAGGACCACAGGGAAGAGCTAACCACTGAAGAGCTGCAAGAGCTTCATCTGCAACAGCAACAGATCACAGCTCAGGAAACTGCTGCAGAGGAGGAGGAGGAGGAAGAGAGATGGAGGAAGGTGCCTTCTTCAAAGATTAAGGACATTTGTGCAAAGTGGACTGAAGTGCAAACATTTATGGATGAACTTCACCCTAACAAAGCTGTTGCAGGCCATATTGGCAACATGTACAATGACAGTGTTGTGTCCCACTTCAGGGAAATCTTAAAGAAACGCCAGAAACAGACCTCTCTGGACAGATATTTTGTGCGACAGGGGTTCAGTGACTCTCAAGCTGGTCCCAGTGGCATTAAAAGAAGAAGGGAAGTAACCTCAGATAAGGACTTCATACCTGAAGTCCTAATGTAAGGAGATTCTCCTTCCAAAAACAGTGTACACCTTCCTCCTATCCCCTCCTCCCGTCTTCCATCCATGCAGAAGTCTTCAGTAAAGGTAAGTGTAATGTTATTATTATTTATTTTAAATGCATGTACTTGATTTCTGATTGTTTTCATTATGTAAATCTTTATTTAATTTGAAAAAAAAAATTATTTTAATATTTTTAGGTGTCTGGAACGGATTAATTTTATTTCCATTATTTCTTTTGGGGAAAATGGTTTCGAGTTTCGTGAATTTCGACCTTCGGCGGGCTCTCTGGAGCGGATTAATCACGAAACTCGGGGGGTCCACTGTATTTCTCTATTTCTGCATTTAGTGGTGACTTTAAATATTTGGGATATAAATGACAAAGAGGCAGCTAAAATGCCAGGAGCAAGGGGCTAGTAACCCCTTCTCCTGTATATATTACTAAATGTAAAAGGAGAAACTTTCGTTTTTCCTTTTTGGGCCACCCTGCCTCGGTGAGATACGGCCGGTTTGTTGAAAGAAAAGATAAATGACAAAATGAGAATTGGCACTAGTTAGGTTAAGAATAGAATAAATGAGGCAGGGAAACAGGTAGTGCAATAATGGAGTATATGATTAGGATAACAGAATTAGGTTGCGAAAAACTGGATATCAGATTAGAGGGAGAGAGTATGGAGGAGTTGAATGTATTCAGATATTTAGGAGTAGACGTGCCAGCAGATGGGTCTATGAAAGATGAGGTGAATCATAGAATTGACAAGGAAAAAAAGGTGAGTGGTGCACTGAGGAGTCTGTGGAGACAAAGAACTTTGTCCATCGAGGCAAAGAGGGGAATGTATGAGAGTATAGTTATACCAACTCTCTTATATGAGTGCAAAGCATGGGTGGTGAATATTGCAACAAGGAGAAGACTGGAAGCAGTGGAGATGTTGTGTCAGAGGACAATGTGTGGTGTGAATATAATGCAGAGAATTCATAGTTTGGAAATTAGGAGGAAGTGCGGGATTACCAAAACTTTTATCGAGAGGGCTGAGGAGGAGTTAAGGTGGTTCGGACATGTAGAGAGGATGGAACAAAATAGAATGACTTCGAGAGTGTGTAAATCTGTAGTGGAGGGAAGGTGGGGTAGAGGTTGGCCTAGGAAAGGTTGGAGGGAGGGGGTAATGGAGGTTTTGTGTGCGAGGGGCTTGGATTTCCAGCAAGCATGCGGGAGCGTGTTAGATAGGCGTGAATGGAGACAAATGGTTTTTAGGACTTGACGTGCTTTTGGAGTGTGAGCAAGGTAATATTTTTGAAGGGATTCAGGGAAACTGGCAGGCCAGATTTGAGTCCTGGAAATGGGAAGTACAGTGCCTGCACTCTGTAGGAGGGGTGTTAATGTTGCAGTTTTATAACTGTAGTGTAAACACGCCTCTGGGAAGACAGTGATGGAGTCAATGATGGTGAAAGTTTTTCTTTTTCAGGCCACCCTACCTTAGTGGGAAACAGCCGATGTGTTAATACAATACACCATTATATTACACGGTAGTTAGATTTCTGAAAACGTCGTGCTGGGTAAAACCGTGTTAGATAAACTGAAGAACTAATGGGAAAAATAGGGTTACGTTCCTGGGAGCCCCCAAGAAGCCACACAACTTTTTTTTAGATCTTATAAAAATAAAAGTGATTGTATAATCGTAGTTCATTGCCATGATATAGTTTGTTTTTACTGCTTAAGACTACAGATGCAACAGAAATAATAGTATTTCTTATCTTAAATTGTGGGTGCTGGTGTGTGTCATTGACTGTGAAGACAGCAGAGATGCATGGTTTGGCCCAACTAGGCTGAGATGGATGGTTGTTGGTTGTCGGCAGAAGTGAATGGTAGAGGCTGTGGTACTAAAGTCAATGGTTTAGGGGTGTGCATAAATTCTATAATGGATCTCGGGGCTCTTTTACCCTGCAGTACATTATATAGCTGACGGTAAGGCATCATCAGCTGGTCTAGACCCCATTTTAAAGCACTGCTTCTAGATTTGTCAGGGTCCTCTTCAATGAAAAAGTCTGCAGCTTTACAAATAATATGGAAATGCTTAAGTAACTGCTGCAATGTTAACTGTTTTTCTTCAGGTTTTCTTAATCTTCTGTTATGTGGCTCCTTTGTATCTGTGCATCAAGCTCTGCCAATATTTCCTTTGGACTCCTGTCTTCATCATCATCATCTTCATTCATATCTTCATCATCATCTTCATTCATATCTTCAAAACCATCACCTGGTAATCTCCTTGCAAGCTGAACAATTTCCTGAACCCGACTCTCAAGCAAGGTCTGACTCTCACTCAAGGCCATAACTTTCTCCAGCCTGCATTTAATGTTGATTGGGGCACTTCATTCCATGCACTTCTAGCAGTAGCAAGCTTATTCCTGAAGCTTGTTACTGCCAGGTTGGAGTCAGAGTCCACTTATGCAACTATTTTTTTTTTTTTTTTTTTTTTTTTTGTGTGTGTGTGTGTGTGTGTGTGTAGTTACACTTGAATGACTTAATAACTCCCTGATGCAGTGGTTGTATTAACCCTTTGACTGTTTTGGTCGTATATATACATCTTACGAACCAGTGTTTCGGACATATATATGTATACTCAATAATTCTAGCGGCTTCGAATCAA